TGTAGTCATTAACTATTAATGCTCATGGTATTTTTTCTCAGCTTGGGCTTCATATTTTCTTTTTCCCCCCCTCACAAAGGCCTACAGAACAGTTAGATCCTTTTGGACAAAAGGTATCCTGCTTTACTGCCTGTGTTGCCTCCAAGTGCAGAGGGCATGGCCTGACCAGGTAAAGGGGGACTTACTTTTCTTCTTTTATTGACTGTATGCGATCAATGAGAATCTCCTTCTCCCGATTGTTGGCTTCAGAAACATCCTCCTCTTCGTGCACCGAGTCCAGCTCTGAGGTGCCACTGTCATTTCCTTTGACCTGAGAGCTTTTACTCTGCAAGACAGATTTACATGTAACACTTGTCAGTCGCAAGCAACTACACCCGTCTACAAGTTTCAGAGTGGAAGACAAATGAGTAGGTCAAAGGAGAGGCTGATGGAATTGATAAAGAGATGTTAGTTGTCCAAACAAATGTTTCAAAAAGTAAGAGAAAATTTCCCATTCACCTGATTTCCAGGATTTTGTTACCTTTTTTTGATGGCTTAGCTTAGTTTTAGTAGTCACTCAATGAGTAATATTATTACATCCAATGTAAGTTACATACAGTGTCTATAAAATACCAGGTGATGACAAAACAGGCCAGCAGCCCTGCATGCATTCTGGGGAGGAAATTGCACATGCAGTCCTGATGGTTCAAAAGAATGTTTAAAACTGGGTTACAACCCGTGTAAGCACTTTAGTCATGCAAGAGTACCATAAGAAAAACCCATGCACTGGAGCTAGGCAGTTGTACATACCAGCTTCCCCTCGTAAGGAGAAGAGAACCCAAGTTTTATAGGCCAGAGCTAGAGAGAGATGGAGACCAAATTCACTATATACAGCCTCTGATCAGACACAGTTTGGTTTGTATTAATCAGTATAACAAAAACAAAGACTAAGTGTATTTTCCCTCCTAGAACGCAATATATTTTTGCACACCAGCCATCTCTGGAGCAAAGGAATTCTTTTGCCATATCAGACACTCAATATTAGTTCCACTGATAGAATTACATGGTAACAGATTTTAACCAGTACAAAAGCAGATTCCCACCCCTGCACCCTTCATTTATCAGAACTACAGTACAGCTGTATATTTAGCTCCTACCTACAGCTTTGGGCAGTTGTTTTTTTCCAAATGAGTTCTGACTCACTGAATGGATGGACAGGATAACTAGCACTCCCTCCCCAAGAAGTTGGTGTTTTATTTCAATGCTTACTGTGTTCTGCCGAAGCAATGAGA